TGCCTACCCCATTGCACGGGGTGAGCGCTAGGCGAGCGGGCCTGGCGCGCCGGCGCATGGGTCACGGGGACACGTGCGCCGGTCGATGGCCCCGGGGCGCTCAACCCGCCGGCGAGAGCCGGGTGGGCCTTGAGGGCGAGAGCGGCCGGATAGGACTCGGGCATGGGAGCGAGGGAGAGGGAGCGAGGGTCGGCCCGGCGACGGCTCCTTAGTGCTCCCGAATGAGCGCCGCGGCTGTACCCGTTGGGTCGGGGTGCAGCCCACGGCGCCTTCGGAGCACTTGAGGTCGTCGGGCCTGGAGGGAAAGGAATTTTTATGTATTTTGGGAAACTTTCCGCGAGGGCTGGCGGTGCAGGCGTGCAACACAGCGATCCAAGCACCGAGTCAGGACCAGACGGCGGCACTGCGACTTCCGTCGGACGGGAGGCATCTAGGGGACCTCCAACCCTAGGGCACGTCATCAATTCCTCTGGTAGGATCTAGGGGAGTGTGGATAAAAAAAGGGGTGCTAACGAATGGCAATGTGGCTAGTGTATTAAGATAGTTTGCATTTATTCGTCTGTGAGGTCTGAATTACAATCAGCTGGGAGGGCACCTGAGGTGCCTTGACCTAATTTCCTCTGGGTTAATATACTTCCGCGTCGCGGCGGTTCGGGTGTCGTGATAGCGCGCTTAAGCAGCAGTAGGTTAGTGGACGCCAGAGTGCTGATGCGGGAATTCCTTACTGTTTCAATGGCGGTCTATGCGTTATTCAGTCTCGTGATACTGAGATTTCGGGTTCAGCTGTTTGGAGGAAGTTAATGGGTTCTTAACCTATCCGGTTAACTGGAGCAAGGCATGGAAATCGCGATAATGATTAGAATTCAGTTTTGATCGAAGATGAAGGGTTAATAAATAGACTAGAATGAAAATGAGGATGAGTCGAGCTCGCGAAGGATCCTCTACCTGGCTTGATCAGCGGCCGCATTCGGTGACAGTCTCCTTTGATCTACCCAGCCGGATGACTGTGCGTGAACACATTGGATCATTGACTGTATCCCGAATCTTAACTCCCTTTTTCCCATATTTCCACAATATTTCCTAATTATTTCCACCCTGTTACTGTTTCATAAAACAGGACGTAAAATCTGCTTCGTCTTCTTCGCGGATTGCTTATCCGGGATCTTGTTTCAGAGTTCGCTCATCTTTCCGGCACCCACACCTCTCCGAAAACAATCACACACTGACCCGAGGGTAACCTCCAAGGACTCGATCAAAACTAACCGCCGGAATTATCTTCTCAATAAATTTTATTTTTTGTCGAGTTGCCCTTTTGATGAATTTTCTTTTTGATGAGCTCTTTTTGGATGAATTTTATTTTCGATCAATTTTCTGTTCGACAAATAATTTTTCGATGAATTATTTTTTTTATAATTTTTTTCGATGAATTTGTTACGTAGACACTACTTACGAAATAATCGCGACCCGGTAAATCGGAAGGTAGCCATGGAATTCCATAAATTAGCACGCGATTTTGTCATACGTTTGCGAAATGAGGTCCCACTCGACCTGACTAAGATCGCGCCACCGACCCAAGTAGACCAAGTCGCGATCAACCGGGCCCGAATGCATCGTGGTGACGCTGCAACATGTCCTCCACCCCTGCAACCGCCGCCCTCGTCTAAACCATGGAACCCCCACCAATTGGAGCGCCGTCCCAAATTCGCCGATAAAAACCAACAATCGACCAGTTAAAATAGCAATCGCAGTCGTAGTCAGTCAGAAGAAAGGTGAGACTCATACCGAGCCCCACGAAAATCATCATCGTCATCGACCTCGAAGCTTGGAGTCTTTGATTCTCGACTCTCAGTTCCTAGCGAGTCTGAGACGGAAATCATCGAACTCGGAGGATCACCTGCACTTCGAGCTACAGTTGTGCTGCTCGGTACTCCGGCGATCCAGGAGCATCAATCCAGGAAGGGACGGCGGCACTAGTACATCCGTTGGACGGGAGGCTCCGAGGAGACCTCCAACTCTAGGGCACGTCACGGGCGGAACGCGTTCACGCGCAGTCATCCGGTTGGTCGATCTAAGGAGGACGTCACCGAATTTGGCCGCTGATCTAAGACAGGTACAGGCCCTTCCGCAAGCTCGGGTCACCTTCATCTTTAATCCTAACCTCATCTTTCATCGCAACTAAAACTACCCGAATTCCATGCCTAGCTCCGGTTAACCGGATAGATTAAGTCTGTTATATCTCGAAACATTTCGATATCTTATTTCGCGCTAGAGTCACGCGAACCTCACAAATTCAGAGTGCAAGAAGTGCCATGTTAGCAGATTAGGCGTCCAGTGACCTACTGCCACTGACCGCCTTATTGCGTCATCCGAAACTCCGCAACGCGGAACGAAATCAAATCGTACGAGTTAAATGCGAGCACCATCGAGGACCCTCCCGATTTGTATAAACCCCATCTGACTGAAAGACGAAAATATACATCCTCATCAATTACGGATAACCTCCATTTATTGGGGCCTCCTTAGCTCTACATTCCTATAAATCCCACCAGAGGATTTGGTCTAGCCGCTCGGACCATCTCCTCACAATAATATCTGATCATTACGTGGACGTTCGAGGTAAGACCTTATTAGGCAAAACCCGAATTTTCCCCTCGGCCTCGCATCCCCTCGGCCGCCACGTAACAAATTGTTTCCGGTCAATTATTTTTCCGAAGAATTGTACTCGATGAATTATGTTTTCAAGGAATTGCTGTTCGATGGATGGTTTTGATGAATTGTATTTTATTAACTTTCCGCAAACGCTTTCACATAGATACAATTGTTTTTACTAAAACATTAACATAGGACTATAAATCTCGAAAAATGTAGGGTGTTCTTATAAATACAGGATATAAGAGCATCTTGCACTGTCTTGCAATATTGTATTATATAAAATAACATTTCCTTCTCCAGTAAGCGTATTTCCTAATATACATTTCAACTTTTGTTACAGAATTTTTTGGTAATGGCAGTTCAAGGCACCCCCGAATCAGATGGAGGAAGTTTCGAGTGTTTCCAGAATTATACAGCTCCGGAAGTTTTCGTTCAAGGACTTGCTGGTATTGTTGATCAGCAAGATGTGGAGTCAATGATTCGTGCGCAGAAACAGATGTATGATTTATTTTTTGATCACAATTATTTACATATTCTTATAATATAGTCAAGTATAATATGCCTTTAACGCTAGAGCTACCGACGGCTTATATGTACATAATTATTCCGGATGGATCAAAATAACTGGTTTCTGGAAAGAACAAGTCATTTCAGAAAAATCCTGCATTTTTTTATATTTTTCGATTTTATTTAACTAAAACTGAAAACATATTGTTCCGGAAGTAGGTCCTGCACATACTTCAACTGACATTTTCAAGGCTAAAGACAAATTTTTGTCTGTACTGGACCAAGACCCGCAGAGAATTGAATGAATATAAACGTGAAACATTTCTAAGATGTATTACATGAAACATTTCTAAAATGTTTGTATTATTTTGTCGTAACCTAAATAGAACCCCAGAGGGATGGAGAGAGGGGAAGAGACAGGGGGAGAGAGGGAGATGGGGAGGGAGGAGAGACGAGAGAGAGAAGAGTTGAGTAGGGTTTTATGGTTAGTCTTTACTTTATTAAACTGAGATTCTTAACCTAATTACTTAACCTAAATGGGCTACCTGCTGGTATGCGCGGGCGCTTCGCGGTTGAGACGGCGGAGCCTCGTGGCGGCGAGCTTCCTTGGCAGGCCGGTTCCGGAGGCGGGGGGCCGGCGGTTCATGGTGGACGGGGTATGCTGAGTACACGGGTGGGCATGCACGTAGCGCAAGAATGGCGAAGGTGTCGAACTCTCGAGGACTCTTGATTACGCATCTTCTACTTCGGCACGAGGTCGAGGCGGAAGTTTCTTCGCGGGCCTCTTTTCCACCCAGTCTTCGGCGCTCTCCAGCGTCGACCGGGCGCGCCGGCACGGCGGCTCTGGGGCTTGGTGGTGCTACTGACATCGTGGTGCGCTGTTCGAATCCGTGACGGGGCCACCCATCACATTGTAGCTTCGTCTCTAACTATATCAGATTTGTGTGGGTTTGCTTCACGGTAACATTTTGTGCAATGTGCTTCCGTGACACTTTAACTAAGGGGAAACGCCGCCATGCCGCCACGTTCTTCCAGTATAGGTGCAGGTGAATGTTGCAAAAAAATTCGTCCGCCTTCGGACTCCTTTATTGTCCGTACACTCATGCTTCGCTTAACCTAAGAGAGCTACGTTACAATTGTATACGGAGACCCGGGAGGAGGGCTGACGCTTTGTATCTAGGGGGTAGGTAGCACCCAGAGGGAGTCGAACCACCCCTCCTGCCTAACCAATTCCCGCTCTTTCTGATGCGAGGGGTCTTGCGACGGTTGTAGTCCTGGTAAAGGTCCTGAAGGCGGCGTACGTCCCCATGAGGACCCTGATGGGGATAACAGCCAGGTCCCTAACACCGATGATTGCTCGTTGGCGCAGGTCCTCGGCTGACTCCTACTCCAAATTCCCCTCTAGCTCAGTGTGACCGGGAGGTGGTCCACCGTCTCAGCTCCGGTGAGACGTCGGATTTCGTCATTGAGCCCAGGGGTGTCAGCGTGGTACCGCCCCTTGATCCCGTTGGCGGTGTCAAGGGGGGCTTGTTCGCTGACCACCTGGGCGTCGATGACCACCGCTTGTGTCCCCAGGTCCGCGACGAGGTCCGGCTTCCTGAATCCGGAGGGGGTCCGGTGATGGGGCTCCTCATGGACCGTGTATCCCTGACGTCGGAGGTTTCTTGCAATGTACTTGGCGACGGCATTGCGCCTGGTTATCCTGACACCGTGTGTCCTGTGACAATGTTGGACGACATGGTTGATCGTCTCCGGATGGAGACATCCCCCACGACACAGTCGCTCCCGCCTCCGTCCACGGGTGGTGCGTGCCAGGATGGGAAGGGCACCTACCCGTGTCTTCACTGCGTGGATGTAATCTCGCCCATGAAGGAGGCGTGTTCCGTCGCCGATCCATCTATATTGTTGCGGGATGGAGGCTAACTCTTTGAGGGCCGCTCCGTCGACCGATGAATGTAGCCGCTCCGCCCACATCGTGTTGAAGTTGTTGGAGGTGATCTGGAGCTGCCCATTGTCCGCCAGTCTTCTCGTACGTCGCAAGACCTCCGCCGTCAGGTAGTTGTCGTCTGGAGCAACGCCCGACATTCGCTATGGTAGGTATCCGTGGAGTCTAGCCAACCTCGTGGTCGGGGCAGCCCATCGGAGGGCGGGGATGCCCAGACCGCCGTCCTACTCTGCCGCGTGGTAGTACCCCACCGGGGTGTCATTGGGCAGGGCCAACCACTTCCTGATGGCGGCGCGGACAATTCGGTCGGCTTTTCGAAGGTCCTCTATGGTGGCTCCCCCCAGGGCGAGATGGTAGTACGTCCTGGGGAGGAGAGCCACTCTAAGCCCGTATATCCTCTGTTGGGACTTGAAGACAGCCTTCGTTAGTCAAGCCAAGAGTGGTCCCAGTGTTTCCACTGGTCTTCTGCTCCTGGCTCCTTCCGATGTGAAGATTACTCCAAGGTACTTCCACTCCTCTGTCTCTTTAGTGGGGGGATTGCACCACCACCAATGCTGAATATACCTGCCGCATCGACTACCGTCTTCTTGCGGTGTCTGTCACCGTGCAGGCTTACTGTCCAGGACTTAGTTGGATTGGTCCGGAGTCCACACTTTGTCAGATGTTCGTGTGTCCAGTCCAGTAAGTGTGGATGGCCTACACAGGTGTTTACCATTATAGCCAGGTCATCGACAAAGGCGGCTACATTGGTGGTGTGCGTTCCGATGGTAGCCCCCACCTCCTCTGGAAGAGAACGGAGGAGACTATCCATCACCAGGTTGAAGAGGAGTTGGTGATAGGGGATCTCCCTGTTTAACTCCTGGTCGGGTGGATGGGTGTTGATCCCCACCTCTCCCCGCAGATGGTCGTCTGATCTTCGTTGTAGGACCTGGTGATGTAGTCTCGTAGGGGGGCAGGGACTCCTGCTGCCCCCATAACCCCCCGAGGGTGTCGCGAGAGACAGAGTCGAATGCCTTGGCGACAAGATGGCAAGATGTAGGACTTGTAACGGTCCCGTCGTAGCGTATCCAGGAGGAGGACGTTGTCCCTGCAGCCATTCACGTGTTGCCGGAAGCCCCTCTGTCGTGGGTCCAGCTCCAGACCCCCAGCCATCCTCATCGACAGGATCTTGTGAAGGACCCTGGCGAGTATGAATGGGATGGAGATCGGGCGGAAATCCCCCAGCAGAGCGGCTCCGTCCTTCTTGGGTATGAAGATCGTTCCAGAGATGGCCAGGTGGTGGGGCAGCCTCCCTCCGACGAGTACTAGGTTGAGGATCCTTACAATGATCTCTCCCGGCACAGCTCTGTACATCCGCGACGTCATCCCATCAGGGCCTGACGCCACGGACACACAAGGCTGGGCCGCCGTAATCTCGGCGAGGGTGACTGGCCCCCAGAGTTCCGGGCGTCGCTCTCCCTGAGGAAGATTCAGGGGGGACCCCGCCGTGGGCCCTGTGAAGACCTCTCTCCAGAACGGCTCCATGACCTCTCGTGGTGGCTGCCGGAACTCCGTCACTCCTTCGAAGATTGCCGTTAGGCATCTGGACCTATTCTTTCGAGGTCCCGGTGCATGGGAGCAAGGCAGCAAACCTCCCATGCTGCGCCTCCCCCCCCCCCCCCCGAGGTTTCGTTGCGCATGTCCGGAAAAATCGGGGAGTTGGGGGATCGTGTAGAGGGGCCTGAGTGCTGCATCAATCCGCAAGAGTGGGGGGTGAACCCCCCCACCCAGCCGGGACTCGAATCCGGACCCCCCAAATAGGGAGGTAGCACTCAGACTACTCGACCACGAGCTGTCTTGGACTGGGCCGCCCCGCACCGCTAGTCACCCAGGGAACGTCGTGATGACGTAACGCCGGGGGTCTAGACGGGGAGTACGAGACAATCTCCGGTATATGCGGTTCCTGTTTTCTCTCGTCAGACACGAAATCGCCTTGCGCAGCCGAACACCTGGGGAACGTCACGCCGAGGGGTAGGTGCACGAATGCGAGACCATCTTTTACCCTGAGGGCGATTGTACATGGATGCCAGTCACCTGGAGTGGCCGGACTCTCAGGGAACGTTGCGATGACGTCAAGCCGGGGGTGGGGGGGAGCATACGCTAGGACACAAGACCGGGCCGCGGACTGTCTCACTGCCGCGTGGAAGGGGAATGGCGCCTTGTCGTCATGCCTCTCATGATGAGCGAGCCGCTTCGTCGAATTTCCTAAAAAGTGACGATGATTGGGAAACCATGGATTGTGGGCTGTCAAAGGTATGCGTCCAGTGTAGATGGTATTGGAAAGACGCCCGATCTCATATAAGATAAGAACCGGGTGTCCGCAACATCAGCGTCGCCTCCATGCTCACGGATAGCTGCGAATCTAGCGTATAGGTATTGCAGACAATACCACGTGAACATTGAAGCACTGACGTGCTTTCCGAAGGCTTTATCTGCGGATATAAGAAACGCATAAGCTTTCTCCACGAGGGGCACGAATCCCTCGCAAGAGACACAGAAGGTATCCGCTCCTCTGAAGGCCGTGAGCCCATCGAAATCGTCGGCCCCGTACTCCTCCCACATCGGATCATTCCTTAGAGATTATTCCTGAAGTGGAAAGTGCCTTGGGCTTAAACTTCTGGGCGGTGGGTTTACTCACCGTGACCTCAGGAGCACTCTTCGTCTCTGGCTTGGTGCTAGACTCTGGAGCTGGAGTATCGGCAGGTTCATTTGCTTCGGGACGCGCATCCTTCTTCGATTTGCGTTCCGTCCACCAGGTTTTTCTTTTTCCGCGTTTCTCGTCAGATTTGCTAGTACCAATCTGTGCTGACATCTTTACCAATTGGTCTTCCGACAGTAAGATGATGGAGTTCTTGATTGTTCGTGTTACCAGTTTTGCCGTGGCTTTGCATAGCGGTGTAGCTTCCAGCCATTTGGAAAATTTGTCCTGCATGGTTAGTATGCAGGTATTGTTGTTACTTAATCTCGGTAGTGGGCCCACCAGGTCTACGCTTACGGTGTGCCATGGGTCGTTCGTTATGTGTGCTAACTTTTGGCCTGGTTTTCTCTGCTGGGAAGCTTTGTACCGTTGGCACAGTTTGCATTCTCTGACGTATGATGCAGCGTCTTGCAGAATTCCGGGCCAGTAGTATAGCTGTGATATGCGGGTTAGGGTCTTGGCGATTCCCAGGTGTCCGGCTGTTGGGTCGTCGTGTGCCTCATGTAAGATTCTTTGCTGATCTTCTGTGGTTGTTTCCAATTTTCGTTTATGCTGGCGTCGTTATAATCGAGTCTGTGCAGTATATGTCGGTAAAGTTGATCGTTTCTTATTTCGTAGTCTGAATGTCTGGTCGGGTCTTCATTTACTCTGCGCCATTGGTTGTTACACCATGTGCAATTCGTGAGTATTGAAGTCACTTCGGTGTTTTGTCTGGATAGCGCATCTGCTATTATGTTTTCGGCTCCTTTTCGGTATTTTATCGTAAAGTCGTACTGTTGGAGTTCTAGGGTCCATCGTGCTAGTCTTCCGGATGGGTTATCGATTTTATTGAGCCACAATAGTGCTTGGTGGTCTGTTATTACCGTGAAGTGATATCCTTCGAGATAGCCTCTTAACTTTCGTATTCCCCATACTGCTGCGAGACATTCTTTTTCGCTGACTGACAAGGGAACATTCTCAAATGTCCGCCTCCGATCTCATTGAGTTTCATATATGTTGAAGAACACAAAAATCTAAGACATACGTGTTTTTTTTATATCTGCAATAGTCCACAATTAAGGGGTGAAACAACCCCCCAAAGTTTAGCGAAAAATCGGTTTTTTAAATATTTTTTGTAGGAGCAGTGGAGGGATTTCGACGAAACTTTGCATAAACGTATTCTCTATAAGAACCGTGACAACACAACATTGTTCAGCAATGTTGCACCTCCTCAAGGAGGTGAACTACCCAATACCGAAAAGGAGCCGAAAACATAATAGCAGATGCACTATCCAGACAAAACACCGAAGTGACTTCAATACTCACGAATTGCACATGGTGTAACAACCAATGGCGCAGAGTAAATGAAGACCCGACCAGACATTCAGACTACGAAATAAGAAACGATCAACTTTACCGACATATACTGCACAGACTCGATTATAACGACGCCAGCATAAACGAAAATTGGAAACAACCACAGAAGATCAGCAAAGAATCTTACATGAGGCACACGACGACCCAACAGCCGGACACCTGGGAATCGCCAAGACCCTAACCCGCATATCACAGCTATACTACTGGCCCGGAATTCTGCAAGACGCTGCATCATACGTCAGAGAATGCAAACTGTGCCAACGGTACAAAGCTTCCCAGCAGAGAAAACCAGGCCAAAAGTTAGCACACATAACGAACGACCCATGGCACACCGTAAGCGTAGACCTGGTGGGCCCACTACCGAGATTAAGTAACAACAATACCTGCATACTAACCATGCAGGACAAATTTTCCAAATGGCTGGAAGCTACACCGCTATGCAAAGCCACGGCAAAACTGGTAACACGCACAATCAAGAACTCCATCATCTTACTGTCGGAAGACCAATTGGTAAAGATGTCAGCACATATGATGATATGAAACTCAATGAGATCGGAGGCGGACACTTGAGAATGTTCCCTTGTTAGCCTTGTGAGAGTGACCTCTCGAGTACGAAGGGTTAACACGTTGAGTGCCACGTCAGTCACTGGTGACTGACACTGAACTTTCCGTTCAGGCCGCGTCAGTCATCGGTGACTGACACTGAACCGTCCGCAGCGCGCGTAGCCTCACCGAGAAGTCGTTATAAAACCGCGTGGCATTCAACGTGTTAAGTATATGATAAGTTCTGAAGACAAGAATGTGATAGCATACGCGAACAGCTTTTACTGCATTGTCATCAAATTGTTTATGCAAAATAGATGTAAAGTCAAAAACGTCTTTCCTGATATCTCTTTCAATATGAACTTTCTTACAAAGTTGTCAAAACGCTTATGTGGTCAAAATTATGTTTTGGATTTAATAAGTACATCTTTACAGCGGCGCCAGTAGTCTGCAATGAGTTAATGTTTCCCGTAACTATATGAATACTATTCAAAGTGAATGTTCATGATAATAAGTAACGTATGACGTTGAGTAGTTCTTGTCGCTAATAATGATTTTTCTTTAGGTTACAGAGGTTCGAGAAAACAAATGAAATGCTGACTAACTGTAACCAATTATCCGTGAGCAGACTAAAAACCGCAAGCTCTGAATTTAAAAAACACACTGTACTCCTAACAGAAATGAAGAAGGATTTGGATTACATTTTCAAAAAAATTCGTGTGATTAAAAATAAATTAAATCAGCATTATCCATATTCATTTAGTAATAAAGAGTAGTTTTGTGGAATGTGACGCTGTACAATTGTTTAAAAAAAATAGATCATTCTTATACTCTAACTTCACGTCTGGTATTGTAATCTTAATATTAATCACTAGTTTATTTTGTAATTGTAAGTAATTTACTAAAATAAATAAATTTATTATAATATAAAAGTTATGTTCCCTCCATCTTCTTTATCACCCTTCTTATTGTTATATTGTATGTATCTTATTGTTATATTATATGTTATATTGCTGTAACATATTATAATGACGCAACTCCGTTGGCCAATAATGCCATGCCTCAATGAAGTCACACCGTAATGAGTTCCGCTTCACAGAAAGTGTTGTCCGAGAAAATTAAATGGCGATAATATTTAGGCACTTACAAGGGAGGTTCCCCAATCCGGAAACTGAAGAAATGTTGAAATTTGGGGGATATTTACAGCGTGTCTAGGTGAGCCGCAATTTTCTTTTTTCGGCGGAAAATCATTTTAAAAAGGCAACTTTTTAATCATCAACTAAAAATTATTCGATTTTCAGTTTTCATTTTATTTCTGTTACGGGGCCGAGGTAATTCAAATTGTGATTACCCAAATCTTGCGTGTAACGATTATTTTAAGTTTGTGAGGAGATTGATCCGAGCGGCTAGATCAATTCCTCTGGTGGGATCTAGGGGAGTGAGGAATAAAAAGGGGTGCGAACGAATGGCTATGTGACTAGTGTATTAAGATTTGCATTTATTCATCCGTAAGGTCTAAATTACAATCAGCTGGGAGGGCACCCGAAGTGCTTTGACCTAATTTCCTCTGGGTTAATATACTTCCGCGTCGCGGCGGTTCGGATGTCGTGATAGCGCGCTTAAGCGGCAGTAGGTTACTGGACGCCGGAGTGCTGATGCGGGAATTCCTTACTGTTTTAATGGCGGTCTATGCATGGTTCTGTCTCGCGATGCTGAGATTCGAGCTCAGCTGTTTGGAGGAAGTTAGGGGGTTCCTAATCTATCCGGTTAACCGGAGTAAGGCATGGATATCGCGATGATGATTAGAATTCGGGTTTGATCGAAGATGAAGGGTTAATAAGTAGACTAGTGTTACGCCCCGTCCTTCTTGATGGTAAAAAGGCGGAAAAGGTTGAAGAGATTACAGGGATATGGGAAAGAAAGGGAAGTAAAGGTTCGGGATACCGTCAGATGGTCCTGGGACCAGTTCGTCTAATCTATTTGCACTAAATTTACTTGGGATTTTGGTTTAGGATTTGACAAGTTGAGAAATTTGCCAATCGAACTGTATGAACGACTGACGATTTGGATTTCGAGTGAACCAATTCGATATGGGCCAAACGGGTTATGAGAAATTGGACTACTAATGTGGAAAAAAGAAAATAATAAGTGGTTTGAATTCCTTAATAAAGCGTTTATTACGGATAGAATAAAACAATAACGATATGATAGATAATGGTTTAAAAAGAAAGATATTAGTGTTATTAAAGGAAAAAAAAAATTGTGTGAGGTTAATTAAATTACAAGTATTACACAAGCTTAGCTAGGGAAATAAAATGTAGGCGTACCTGGATTCGATATAATTCACCAATAGAAGAGACTGATAGACACTTGGCGTATTTGCAAAATGGACTCGTCTGAAGTGAGCTGGAACTGGGAACGAACTGAACTGAACTCGCGCTCTTGAGAATGTAACGCGATTTTTCCTCCATCTGAAAAATCTCGCGCACCTTCGTCGATCCACGCTCTCGCCTCCCTCCCCGTTCTCCGACTATTCAATGGGCGCCAGTTGATTTTTGGGTCCCCGGAACCAACAAACCGGTCTAAGCAGAATCGTAACTCGTAATGGCAAACCTATCACCTAAATTTTATCACGAAACGGAGAGAAGGGCGGCGAGAGAGGACTCGGACGGCATGTCCCGTGTCTCTCAGGAGGCAAGTTGTGGAGAGTTAGGGTCGGGGTCGTAACTGACCTAAGGGAGTAGGTGACGAAAGCTACACTTTAGCGAAAAATGGAAAAAAAGTGGTATATTCTCAGATAATGCCAGATACTCTAGTACATCTCTTTACGCGATCGTACATCGCGGCCGGAAAAGAGGTCCTTCGGTGATCGTCCTCAGATCTCCCTAGGACGCGCAGGTATCCGTAATGCCATGAGCCTCGACGAATAGACGCGAAATTGGGATCCCCGGGACTCTGATGTCGTAAACGGAACGGAACGGTAGCATGTGGAACTCCATACTCACCCTGGAGTTCCCTGGAACGGACGTGAACGTAACCCTAATGTCTCACTGGAGCAATCGACCGGCACCTCTCCCTCGGTCCTCTTCTTCACACATCCACTCGCGGCACTCACTCGGGTCAGACTCCCTTTTCGAATTCCTACGCAACCCGAAAATCCGGACATATTTCTCCCCCTCGACGTACCCGGCGAGTCAGGAGAGGGGACGTTCGGTACCTTGGAGGTCGTGGGGGTTGTCACCGGGTCCCCGGAAAGTGGTAGGGGAATTCGCGAGGCCGATGAGGAATCCGCCGGCGGGCCTCCCCGTGGGACCGACCTTGGTGGTGGAGGACGACCCATCAAAACTAATGCCACGGCTTCCTCGGCAGTGGCTGTGGCCTGTCCACCGCGCGAGGCCTGCAACCCGTATCTCTTGGCGCCTCCGGGCCTCACCAGGTCGATCCTCTCCAAATTGGGGCGCTGGGATCACCAGACCGCTGGCCCTTACCGAAGAAGTTCCTCGGTCGGAGCGCTCCACCCGGTTGGGAGACTCTCAATTGGTCCATGTACCGCTTTCCGGGTGGGCGTCCTCCCGGTGACCTCGCAGAATT